AACAGATAAAAAATATTCAATTTATGTTTCCTCTGCATTTAAATTACAGAGTTTCAAATTTCTGTGGCCTGCCACACCCTTGCCCCCTTGATGTGCCCCTGTTGGTGATACATGAATCATCATTATGATACCATTGTTTTAGACTTTTCCTTTAATGATAGAGCGGATTTCGTATGAGGGGGAAACGGACAGTACTGTACTGTGACCGTAATCGTACTGTAACCAAATTCTAGTGCCCCATTGGTTCACCAAAATTGTGCAGGCCAGGTCCGGTAACTGTGCGGTAACGGTGCGGTAACGATGTCCCACTCATACGAAATCCGCTCTAATTTGACTAACTATACATTGTAGTACACTACTATGTTTATATCTTGGCAAAGGCAAAATACATGTGTTTATTAAAAGAATGACAGCATAACACATCCCCTGTATTTTCAAGAGGAGTTTGCTGACTTTTTTTTAATGTGTTATGTGTATGTTTTTAAAGTTTTTTTATAAGTTGCATTTTGTTGCACATGTCTTCCAACAGTGTTGCAGAAGCCCAAGTTGGACCAGAACACCTCGGTAAGCACTTAAGAATAAGATTATCATGATCAGCATTAGGAAATCCTATATAGGGTCTAACCAGCAATTTATGACACTGATCCATCTGCATAATGCAGAGTGAACGCTAAAAATTGTTTATTAATTTATTTTTCTTATGCATTTTAAATAACCAAGGTTCAGATTTCTGAGGCCTGACACACCCTTGCMCCCTTGCTATGTCCCTTATAGTGATAATCATCATTAGGTAGGAATACCACTCTTTTTAGACTTTTCCTTGATTGCAATTTGACTGCTAAATTGTACAATGAAGATTCTTTTTAAAAGAACAATGTCTATGTCACCCTGGATGCATTGCACACCTCATCATTATTTTGTGTTACATGAGATTATTTTGGCTACTATTTCAGGCTATTACATAGAGAGGTTTATTAAAGATAATAATAGTCTTTAATATTAAGCTTGYTGAGCTTCCAATGAAACAAGAAATAAAAAAAATCACCATTGTAGTGATTCAACCTGTCAGAAACAAAACAAAATCGTCAAATCATCTGGGGTGATAAAGACAAACTCACAAAAAATTACAAAAAGGATTGTGTTTCACAGTTAAAAGGTGTAATACATCATGTTAAAGGGTGTGGTTCTTTGCCAATACATTGTTCCCTTTTCTTTCAGCAGCTGAAACAGAATAGAAACATGTGCTTCTAAGAAGAAAGCTTTGTTTGATCATGGCTTAAGATATTAAAACATGAGTGTCTTGTTCTTCTAAACTGCATGTACTAATTGCTTGGTAATTGTCAGTGTCTGTGTTGAGTGAGTGATATATGATAGTTTTGATTGTATAGAATGGGGACATTCAAGCCTGTGAAATAGATATTACTTTTGCACATGYAATGTAAGAAGATATAATACATGTACCACTAAAAGTTATTGATTGTATTGTCTTTCCTGCTGTTATTAATTCTGTTTATCAAACTATTACCCTTGACCATTATTTCACAGGCTGAATGCTGCCACTCTGTTTTCAATGCGAGGAAATGTCTATGTATGAGAGCAAACACAGGGAGGGGTAACCTGCACAGCTGTCTTCCCCATTTTCAAATGTGATTATTTCCCCAAAAAGAGCTTAATAATGTACCCTGGACGTAGGCTTTTGGATTAAGGGTGACAAAAGGTTGTACTGCAACCTGGCTCCCCCACCCCCCCATAACGGCTCGGAATATGCAATTATTATTCCTTTTTTCGCTGTAAAATGCATTTGCAAAAGTTCATGTGACGTCATCACTGTAGAGCGGATTTCGTATGACTGTGCAAAAGCACGGATCACAACACGGACACGTCACGGAACCTCGCCTTCTAGGATTTCAAATGAAAATATAGATTTTCCAAATGCACCACGGCTATGGCACGGTACGTACACAGCACGAACATACTATGTTTTTTGGCGCAGTCATACGAAATCCGCTCTAAGTCTATGATTGTGCCCCACCCAAGAAAAGTTTGGCTTTGCCGCCCCTGTGACCAATCATTAAACAAAATGGACTCAACCTGTCTTAATAAACAAGGGAAACTGGGGGTGTGATGGTTTAATAACATCAAAAGGAATAGAACAGCACTTTCACAGTTGATTCTGGAGACAACATGTGAATTATTAATGGTTAATTTATTGACCTTGAGGATGACGTTTGGAACACTTAGTGCGTATTCATATTTTAAATGTAAAATTGGCTCTTTTCTTGTCAGGATCAACTGTGGAAGCTTCTGGTAGCAGGAAACTATAAGCTGGTTATACCTGAAATTTGAAAAGATCTTTTATATTTAGTAGTTTGCAATAGTTTTTATCTTCTCAATTTTTGTATTGAATTGAATTGTTTTATCTTGGAGTGATGTTTCGATCGCTTTGGGTGCAAATTTTGGGTATAACAGTAAAGTTGACTTGCTTACAATGATACGGTTATTGGCAGTTGGCCAATTGTCCCATGAAACGATAATATTGAAAGAGCTGGTGCGCAAACTATAAGACTGATTTTTCTTCTAAGCAGTAGTTTGCTGAGATGCAAAAATAATTTAAAAAGTTATCTGAAAAACTTGTCAAAAAAATTTTAAAGTTAAAACTGAATTGAAACATTTAGAACTTCACTTTACATCAATTTAAGAATGTTTAAATGTGTTTAGAGTTTATGTTAGTGTTCTTATTAATTTTGAAAGTTTTAGTGTTCAATGATTGCCAGTTTTAAAGAATGGTTTTTGTGTTATTGTTATGGTGACTAGTTCATAGTTTATCGTTTTTGTTTATTGAGTTTAGTTTATTTGAGTTTATTTGTTTATCATTTAGTTGTTTACAGTTTTATATTGCGCTCCAGCTTTAGAACCCTGTGAAATTAAAGTCAGCCTGTGAAAGGAAAGAAATATTGGTTACAGTGAGATTTGAACCCTTACCTTCGTATCCAGTAGTCTGATGTCTTGACCACCAAGCCATCTAGTGAATTGCTGGTTCAAACCGCTCAACATCAAAAGTCATTGTTTGAATTTGCATGAATTGCGACCTGCTATAAAGTTAAATTTCGAAGCCTGACCAGCAACTTCGACTAGATGGTTTAGTGGGTTAGTGGTTGGGCTATGAATCTGAAGGTTAGGAGTTCAAATCTCGGTTATAGATTTCTTTCTTTCTGGAAACTAAGATAAATTTCAAAAATTAAANCAAGTAGTAAACAAGGGTGCGGTGGTCGCAACCAGCAGGGGTGGGGTGGTCGAGCAACCAGCAGGGGTGGGGTGGTCGAGCAACCAGCAGGGGTGGGGTGGCGAAGTACCAGGTGGGGGTGGTGTGGTCAAGTACCACCCCTCCCCCGACCAAATGGGGTCCCAAGGGCCATCGGTGGTCCCATGGGAGCTCGGCGGATGAGGGGGGAGATAGGGGAGGGGGGATTATAGGGGGGAGAGGACAGAGGGGGGTGGGCTGTCTAAAATACCCCAGTAGGTAGTATGCTGGATACCTAATAGATACCTATATAGATAGCTAATAAATAGTATGTAAATAGAATATATATTTTGCATAAGACAATACACATCTTGACACACAGACGTAATCCTCCATAGTATTTTATTTTGTCATATTTTAATTCCCAAGGGAATAAGATACACAATGCCCAGTCCCCTTGGTGATATACAATGTCAACAATGTTAAGTCTGGTTCACAGAAAGACATAAGCATAACATAAGAAAAAAAAAACAAAGAAAAAAATATTCCTTATGTCTGTGTGAACCAGACTGTTTACACGAGTAATCAGGTACAAAACAGTTAAGGGGAGTCTCCTTGTAATTTCCTTTGTTCTCATTCAGTGTTGGGTGTCCTGTGCCACTTAAAGTTAAGAAACAAGGAGACTTCCCTTAACTGGTTTGCGACTGATCACTTTGACAAACTACTTACGATACTAGTACTTGACTCTGAAGTTTTGATTGACAAGTCTTAATTTATCAGTTTACTTGACGTTCATTTTATTTTCTAGAGTATGAAATGTCGCAAGCACTGGTTGAAACGCCAAGTAAATTGATAAATCAAGACTTGTCATCCAGAGACTTCTAGCCAAGTTTATATGATCCAAATGTGATTATACTCAAAGGCCCATGGGTATCTGAGAATGTTGCATATAACAATGGAAGAGGGTCTCAGATGCACTTGGGCCTCTAACCATTAAAATATGGTTTAGCCAGACTGTGAAATAGTGAAGCTTATATAGCCACAGATGTCCTCGAGAGACCATTTTGTTATTGATTAATATAAGCATCATATAAATTTGGAGTGAATGTTGTTTAGCTATGGAGGTACTGTGTTACCAGCCACATGTAAGATGTTTCAGGTAGTCTATTATAGCTGTATGTTCAGTTGTAGAAACAACTCACATTTAAATGTTATGTACCAATTCTGCGTAGTTTAAGAGGAATGTAATGAAAAATCTTGAAATATGAGGCAACTAGGAAACTTTTTCTCAACAGCTTTACACATGCAGACAATAATACACCACCCAATCACTTCTCTACTTCACAGTCTGATTTGGGTGTTGGTAAAACACTAGCCAGGATACACAGCATTACCCCATGAATACTAACATTAGAGAAACTTTCATAAAACTGTGAGAATACATCAAGTATAATAACCATTAGTAAAATAGTTTGTAATAGTACATCATTCATTAGGAAAAACAAAATGAAAATTATTGAAAAAAAGAGAGGGAAAACAGTGTGCTGAGTGTATTTCACAAGTTTACGAAAACAACTCTAATGCAGTTAAAACTGGATTTAATGCAGGCTAGTATAAAATAGAAAATTGTTATTTAAGTCATGCATAAGACATGACATCAGACATAAGGATAGCATAATGTCAAGCATAGGCAAATAAATGTAAAATTAATTAAAAATTGTAAATTAAATCAACTTGTAATTAAATCAGGTTAAAAAGAAA